ACATATATATATATATACACACACACACACATGGTTACAGTCCATTTGGCAATGAGCTTTCTTTGTTATGTTAATGAGACTGTATTAGTGTAGGGTGTTTCTTAAATCAGTCTCCTTTGAGCTATAAACGAGCAGATTAAGTAAGCACGCAAGAACAAATGGAGGAGATGACACATGACACATGATCACCCAGAAACCTAGGAAAAGAAGCTGAAAAGAGATAAGTACCTTCCCTCAGAGAAGACACAGAGAGAAAGCATTTCCCTAGATCTGCAGTCCTAAATTAGTACTTCTAGCCTTTCAAACTGTGAGAAATTAAATTTCTGTTTCTTAAAGCAACCCGTTTGTGTTATTTCTGTTGTAGTGGGACTAGGTAACTAAGGCAGAATGACGTATGCATTTTCTAGGGCAGGAGTAATAAAGTGGCTCAAACTAGGTGTCTTATAAGAAAAGAAATTTGTTGATTTAGTTTTACAGAGACTAGTACTACAAATTCTGGGTGTTTACAGAGACATGTTCTCTCTGAAGTCTCTAGGGGAAGATTCTTTCTTGTTTTTCCCAGCTGCTGATAATTCCAGGTTTTTCATGGCATTCCTTGGCTTGTAGATGCATATTCACAGTGTCATCTTCCCCTGTGTGTCCCTCTATGTCTGTTCCCATCTTTATAAGGACAGCTCTCATATTGGATTAAGACTATCCTTTTCCACACTATTCTCTTGTCAACTTTATTGATACCATCTTCAAAGACCTTATTTCAAAACAAGGTCACATTCATGGCACTGGGGGTTAGAACTTAATATATCTTTTCTGGGAACACAGTTTCATTCATAACAGTAGATATACAAATTGGAAAGGAAAAAATAGAACTGTCTTTTTTCACAGATAGCCTGATGGTCTATTTGAAAATTCCAAAAAAAAAAATTAGCCAATTTAAAAAAAAAAAAAATAATGACTAAAACAAGATGATAAGATACAAGGTTAATATACAAAATTAATGTGCTTTTATATTAAAGAACAATTAGAATTTGAAATTTAAAAAAGATCATTAACAATAAAGTCTAGCAAAATTAAATCCTTGGGAATAACTATAACAACGTAGGTATAAGATATATATGCAGAAATTGACAAAACTCTGATGAAATAAATCTAACAAGGTCTAAATAAATAGAGAGGTAATCATTGTACATGGATTTGAAGACTAATATTGTTAGATATCAATTCTTCTCAAGTGACTCTATATATTAACACAAAACCAATCAGATCCCATCAAGATGTTACTGAGAAACCAACAAATTGATTCTAATGTTTACATGAAGGGCAAGAGACCTCGTGTAGGCAATGCAAGTGAAAAACGAGGATAACATCGGAGGACTCATACTATCCCATCTCAATACTTACTTTAAAGTTTGAATAATCCAAATATGTGTCTGTTGAAATAACAGGCAGGTATTTCTATGAAACAGAATAGGTAGCTAAGAAATAGATTCATACAAATATAATCAACTAATGTTTGAGAAAGGAGGAAAGGCAATTCAACAGAAGGAGAGAAGATAGTCTTTTCAAGAAATTGTGCTAGACCAATTTCAAAAAAAAGTAACTAAAAAACAGACATATCTTATACTTTTCACAAATAAACTGAAAGTGAATTATAGACCTATAAATAAAACACAAAACACTAAAACTTCTGGAATGACATAGGAGAAAATCCTCGTGACCTTGGATTTTTGCTGAGTTTAGATACAACACCTAAAACATGATATATAAAAGAAAAAGTTGACAAATAGGATATTATTAACATAAAATATTCATGTTCTGTGAAAAATAATTTAAAAAAAAAACCAAGAAACAGGTGAGGAGGAAAAATTTGCACACACCAAAAAATTGATACAGGCTTGTATCTCAAAATAAAAACTTTTTAAACTCAACAATAAGAAACCAAACAACTTAGGAAATGAGTTGAGTTTATAAGATTGAACTCTAAAGAACTGTACATAAGTACTGTAATGTAATGGATAAGGTGGTTTTACTCAGGGATACAGTTTAACTATTCTAATACTGCTATATATGTATAGTGGAACTTGAAGATTAAGTAAATGAATGGTGAATGGTCAGAATCAGCCTTTTCACAATTGGAGACAGGGTCACAGATAAGCAATATGATATTCTCTGTATTTTCTTTCAGTTTGTCTGTAAATATGAAACATTTTCTTAAAGATTATTTGAAAAGGAAAAAAAAAGTAGAATATCAATTGCTCATTCTTTTCCAACTTGGGTTCAGTTGGGTTTCCAATAGTGCTTGACTTATTGTTCAGATGAGCTAGAAAAGCTCAGGCTGGGAACAAAATCAAGGAAATAAGCAAAGAGTGGGAGTACCTGGGCAAAATGATCCCACTTCTCTCTTGGTGTGAAAAAAAAAATGCAGACTGTGATGTCTCTGATGTCTCAGTAGGCTGAAATAAAGGAAAACCCAGGCAGGAAGGAGGAGGTCTTTGGGGAAACAGGCTGGAAGGAGAGGAAGCCCTTGATACTCACAAGAAGACCCTCCCTGGCTTCCTCTTCACCTGCTCCTGAGGCTAGTCCCCTGTGTTTGGTTGTCCTGAGTGACCTCTGGATCCCATCCCCCTCTGTAAAGGGCGAGCTGTGTCTGAGTTTCCAATGAATTCCCCTCACTGTGCCTCTTGTACAGTAATACGTGGCCCTGTCCTCGGCAGTCACAGAGCTCAGCTACAGGGAGAACTGGTTCTTGGCAGTGTCAATGGTAATGGATATGCAGCCCTTGAAGGCTGGGTTGTAGCCTGTGCTCCCTAACCAGTACTCCATTCACTAGAACCCTTTCCCAGGACATTGGCAAATCCAATTCCACCAATAACTTCAGGTGACAGAGTCCCCAGAGACAGACCAGGTGAGTGATTGAGTCTGTGAGGGCTTTACCAGCCCTGAGCCTGACTCCTGCAGTGTTGGCTCTGGCAGGAAACCTTGGGACAAGAAAAGTCACTGTGTGTCTGTCTCATCTCACACTCAGTACCTATTTATCTTGGAGCTCCCAAGACCCTCACTCAGGGGGGCTGCCAGCAGGCAGAGGAGGGTCCACAGTTTCTGAATGATGAAAACCACCTCATGGGCCCAGGCTGTAACAGGGATTTCTCTGAGAGTCCCCAGAGAGATTTGCATGTGAGATGTCCAGGAATGGTACAAGAGACTGAGCTAGGTGACAGTCACTGGGGCTTTCTGGTGTCCAATTCTGTGGGTGGGAGGAACTGCTGAAAATGGTCCAAGTTGTTTTGGCTCCAGGTTTGGCTAAGTTGTTTTCTGAGCAGTGACTGGGTGTGGCCCTCCTGTCTCTGTACAACCTTTGCCCACAGGGTCATTTTATGGGGTCCAGGATGCAGGATCCTCACACCACAAAGAAATGTCCACATAGTCAGGGTCACCATACATCCACCATAGTCCTTTCCTGGCAGGAACAAGGCTAGTTTTTCTGCAATTATACTCCCTTTTTCCACCTGAAGCACTGTGTCCAGTTAAAGGAAGATTTGAGGTCCCCAGTCCTCTAGGGGACACAGAATGAAGGACAGGTGCTGGAAAGAGTTTTTCAGAAATTAAAGGGAAAAAATCTGGGATTCGTTTTTTTTTTTTTGCTCAAAAAAGTCAGGAAAAAGTATAATTAGCAGAAGGTAACATTTGGAATGTTAATATGGAATTCTTAATATGGAATTACCAGCGTCTGGGGTTTTCTTTATGGTTATTTGGAAAGGAAAAATTTAACAGTGTAAGGAGATTTCCTCGAGTGCCTCCTCCTCATGTCTGAGCAGGTTTGGCTTGGATAGGAGGCTGGACTGTGTATCTCACTGGGGATTCACAGAGTTGCTGCTTAGATTTTCATGGTGAAATGAGAGTTACTGTGTTCAGAGGAGAGTGTGGGGTTGGCACTGGAGTGTGGAAAGGAGGGTACATGGCATGGAGTCAGGGAAGGAATGATCCAGGGGAAAAGTCAGGAGTCAGGGCTGTTTCAGGTGGTTACTCATGAATTAGAGGAGACTACAATCATCAGGATAGCATCGAGTGATGTGTGTTTCCAGTTTTGTTCAGCTCAGCACCTGCGGGCAGGGGTGGGCTCACTGTAGTGATGGACACAGCCAACGCCCTTCATGTTGAATGACAAGGAGATGAGTGTGTGAGGGCAATGAACATGGGGAGTACGGGAACGTAGAGGTCTAGAGGGGTTCAATGGTTCTTGGAATGAGAGTATAGAGGTTCAGGATTGGGAGAGGGATGGTGGTGGCAGAAGTGGAAAGATTGAAACTGTGGTTTTGGAAGACAATTGGTATTGGAGAGGGCTCACATAGTATCGTATGAGAAGCCTTCAGTCTGTGCCATTACCCGTTAGTTATCTGAAGCTGCTATAACAGAAATATCCCAAGTGGATGGCTTTAACAAAGAGAAATTTATTCTCTCAAAGTCTAGGAGGTTAGATGTCCAAATCAGTGTGCCAACTCAGGGGAAGGCTTTCTCTCTCTTTTAGCCCTGGAGGAAGTTCCTTGTCATCAATCTTCCTCTGGTCTAAGAGCTTCTTTGTACAGGAACTTCGAATCCAAGGTCACACTTTGTTCCCTGTGATGCTTTCTTGGTGGTATGAAGTCCCCCTGTCTTTCTGCTCAGTTCTCTGTTTTACATCTCAAAAGAGATTGGCTTAAATTATAGACTAGATTAAATTATAAACTAATCTTGTAGATTGAGTTTATGTAACTGCCACTAATTCCATCTCATCACCATCATAGAGATAAGATTTATAACCCATAGGGAAATCACATCAGATGACAAAATAGTGGGCAATCATGCAATACTGGGAATCATGACCTAGAAAATTTGACAGATATTTTGTGGGGACATAATTCAATCCATGACAACCCCTGTGGGGTAATGTTGTTCCACTGCTACACGGGCCTGGGTACAGGGACTGTTTGACCTATGCCTCTAGGAACTGTTCCTCTGATGTACGGTCATTTTGAGGATAAGACCCTGCTGTCCATGGGTAGCTTTCTCGCCTTGTTCTCCTAGGAAGCTTCTATGTTGAGTGTGAAGTGATGTGTTACTGGAGAGGCCGGGCTGGACACTGAGGGCTCCTCCTGCTCCAGTAACTTTCCCCTGCACAGCTTCTCCTACCTTGGTCCAGGGTCTGAACTTGTGGACTCTGGACCCACCCAGGGCAGATGGGAAACATACCTGAGCCTGAGGAGCTTCTTTGACTGAGGGATGTTCTCCAGAGAAGACAGTGTCAGTTCAGCAGGGGTAGATGTATGCTTCAGCCAGAAAGGGATTTCTAGGGTGGAGGTGGGGGCAATGGCAGCATCAGCCTCAAGCTAGCAGGTTAACAGGCACAGAGATATAAACTTTACTTGAAAGGATCTAGAAAACCAGATCCTAGTTATTTCGTCTTGTGGTTCACTCAAATTTAATGGTGAAATGAATAGCCAGAACTAGGAAAACTCATAAAAAAAAAATTGTTCAATTTTTAAAACCACAGTTTACTTCAGAAGAAAATTTACCTCCCAAAACATAGAATGGATATAAGCTTAGCCAATTTCAATCCTTCCTAGATTCCTTTGAACTGGAAAAGAAATAATTTAGGACTTTTTAATCTTCTTCATTGGCTACTTAAAATGTCAGGCTGAGCGGGGTATATAGATAAGATTGTGACCTCAGGTTTCCTTTGAAACTGTGGGAAAGCACCCCTGAAATGGGCCAAGTTGTTTGCTGAGAAAATTATTCAGTTTCCTCAAAAGAACCACAGGGTTTCTTAGGGAAGAGGTAATAATGAACACTATTGGACTTCTGAACAGATTCTTCATATTTAACCAATGGCAGAAGAACTGACTCAAATGTTTACAGAGCTTTTTTTTTTTTTTAATTTATAGATTTACACAAAAAAATTGTGATGATAATATATATATATCCCATATAGTCTCTTCCCCACCACCACCCAGTTCTTCCTATATTATCTTACATTAGTATGGCACATTACTCATAACCAATGAATCAATACCAGTATCTTATTATTAACTAAAGTCCATACTTTGTTTCTGATTTCCTTAGTATTTACACAATTTCCTTTTTCTATTACAGGATCCCATCCAAGCTATCATATTATATTTAGTCATCATGTCTCCTTGCCCTCCTCTTGACTCTTATACTTCCTCAGACTTTTCTTGTTTTGGATGAGCTTGATAGTTTTGAAGAGTGCTGGTCAGGTTTTTGTAGAATATCCATCCATTGGGATCTGTCTGATGTTTCTTTCATGACTACACAGGGTTAATAGTTTTTGAGTTTTTTTTTTTTTTTTTTTTGGTGGAATACGTGTAAATGCCCTTCTAATAACCTCATATCAAGGTTATATACTACCAACAAGACTTATCACTGTTTATGTTGACCTTTGTCACCTGTCTGAGAAAGCGTTTGTCAGATTTCTCTATTTTAAAGTGACTCTCCCTCCCCCACTTCTAGGCAGTACTATTTGTAAGAATTCAGAGTTTTTTGTTTTGTTTGTTTTTACAAGAGAAATAGACATGAAGGCAGGCAGGAGGAGAGAGCTCCAGGGAGCACTATTTGCTAATAAGGGAGAAAAATGAAGATCAGGCAGGGAAAAAAAGAAAGAAAAACAAACAAAAACCCTTACGCCTTTTTTATCTAAGAACATGTTTCCTGCCCCTGGGACTGGGCTACTGTACTTGGTGGGTCCTGAGTACGCTTTGAAGCTTGGACCCCTCATGTCAGCCTGAAGGGGAGCTTTGTGTCTGGGCTCTCATTGACTTCCCCTCACTGTGATACTCTTGCACAGTAATACATCGTTGTGTTTTTGGTAGTCATGGAGCTCTGCTGCAAGAAGATCTGGTTCTTGGCTGTGTCTCTGTAGACAGTGCTGCAGCTCTTGAGGGATGGACTGTAGTAAGTGCTACCATTATAACATATCTCCCCTATCCATTCTATATCTTTCCCCAGGGGCTGGCAGAACCAATGGCAACAGGAACTGCTGGTGATGGAGAATCCAAAGACAGTGCAGGTGAGTGTCAAGCTATCTGAGGGCTTCACCAGTCCTGGGCCTGACTCCTGCAGCTGCACCTGGGACAGGACACCTGGGGACAAGGAGAATCACAGTGAGTCTCAAGCAGACATTGCAGCATATAGCCTATCTCTGAAATCCTAAAAATAATACCTAGGATTGAAGCCACCAGGCAGAGGAGGAGGCACAGTAACTTCATATTTTTTTTCCTAGGGAATCCTGTCTTCCTCACAGACCTCAGCTCAGACTGAGAAATCACACTGACCTGTTCAATCTTAAGGCTCCTCCTGCCTCCATGGCTGGAGAGAGATTTGCATGTGAACAACCCTGCAGCTACAAGATGGGGACATGATGGTGCAGGTGACTCAAAGTGAATGGGGCCATCACTTCATGCAGGTCTCTCTCCTTTTCTCTGGTCCACGCAGAGATAAAATTGATTTTAGTCACATGTAAGAAGAGGATGGATAGTCCAGAGGAAACAAGAAAACCTTCCAGCACTGGAGTTGATTGTCCTCATTTTGTGGTGGGGAGTATCCATGAAGAAGCAGACAATCAGTTCTGGATGATGTTGGAGTATAGTTTGTACCTTGTATTTGACCCCTCTGATCACAATACAGATGAAAGAAAGTCATGTGTGAGGGATGAGCTTTGAGCCCCACACAGATGTCCAAAAGGACAGTTATTCCTTCTGTGTGGTGGTAGGGGCCCCAGCATGTGAGATACTTTGTCTATTCTGGTGACCTTGGGACAAAGTTCTTTTCATATATCCTGGAAAAGTTAATGTATCCTAACCTCAGCAGGACAGGCTTGTGTAAAAATTTACCAAAAAAAAAAAAAAATATTTCATAATCGTAGTACTTAGGATACCAGGTTACTATATTTGGAATTGAGACAAAAGTGATTTTTTGAAAGTTAATATGTTTTCTAAAGTACAATTCATTTAAATCCCAAGAAAATGAATTAATTGTTATGAAAAACCTACTGTACACATGCATAGGTTTAAAATAAAGTAGTTTTAATAAAAGGAAACAAAAACTAACCTTCAATTGCCACCTTATTATAAGATATATTTCCTTTTAATTCTATTCCATGTGATGTTATGTGTTATCAAATGGTACATGTGAAGTATATTTTGCTGATGATAAAATGACCCCATAACTTAGTAGTTTTAAACAACATTTACTATTTCCATTTTCTATAGCACACAGTTCTAGAGAAGCTTCCATGTGTTATTCCTAAGGTACTTTCATGGAGCTGTAATCAAGGTGGTGGTCAGAGCTGTTGGTGTCTCAAGGATGGATGTAGCTGTGCAGTACCTCCTACAAGGCTTATTCACAGGGCTAGGAGTAGGTGTTGGCTGAGCCTGGATGTCCCCAACCCACATCAACCAAACATTGTGCCCTTAGATTGTGTTGGGCATGAGGACTGTTACTGCCTTCCTTGCCTTAGTTGACCTCTGTTTCATCTCACGCAGGGTGGGTGGCCCCCAGAAGCTTCCTGCTCCTTCACTATGGAGAGGGACTTAACTTTGCCACCCCCTCGAGATGTAAAGACTAAAGACTCCGTCATGGTGGGCATGAGAGTCTCTTGTCCCCTCCTCAGCAGTTGAGACTCTTGATTTTGATAAAGTGCCCTGTGAATGGTGGTGACAAACCTGTCCTATGTATTTGATCCCCAACGGGATGCTTCCAACATGGGATACCTCTGGTCTCTGCCTTGCCACTACTTCTTCCCAGGAGCACCCTGGAGATACATGAGAGGAGACATGAGAAAGAGTCTGTGAATCCACTTGTATCTTGGGGTCCCACTCTTGATCTTTCAGAAATGGTAAAATTCCCCCTGATTTCTTTTCTTCCATGTCTACAGCAGCCTCTTTTATTTATTTATTTTTATTGTACTTCAGTTGAAGGCTTACAGAACAAATAGTTTCTCATGAAACAGTAGTACACATATTGCTTTATGACATTGGTTAACAACCCCACATGTCAACCCTTTAACTTCTCAACATATTTTTTTTGGTGAAAAAACACATAGCCAAAGATACACCATTTCAAAAATTTCTACATATACAGTTCAGTGACACTGACTACGCTCTTCCAATGGTGTTGTTATTCTCACTTAAGATGAAGGCTTACAGAACAAAATAGTTTCTCATTTAACAGTTACTACACATATTGCCCTATGACTATGGTTAACAATCTCACAACACATCAACAATATCCTTACTCAACTTTGGGTTCCCTATCACCAGCTTCCTTGTCCCTTTCTGCCTTCTGTCCCTTGTCACTGGACTACTGTACCTCATTAGTCTCATTTGGTTTTA